TTCAGTTAGACTTTTCAAAATTTTATGCATTTATTGCAAATAATAATCAAAGTAATCGATACAAGTTACGAGCTTATTGCCAGGTTTTTTTTGCATAGGATGTTCAAAATTACTTGTTTTCCAACTTAATTTATTGCTTTAAACCTCATTGCTAAGCAAAAAACTTCGCCCGGGCTGAACAGTTTTAAAATTATAAAATAGCAATTGAAGTATTGCTTGAGAAAATTGTCAAAACCTAAAGTGTTTGTCTGATCTATTGTAATATGATAATGTAAACGACATTTACATTCCTATTTGAAATTTATTAAAATAACCCTCAAATAGTTTCTGTAAAATAAACCCAAGAAAGCGTTTGTGTGCGAGCTTAAATTAATGTGCACGCACTATTAAAATATACCCATTTAGCACAACAACATCGAAAATGCATTTCCTATAAGCAACAAGCGTTACAAAATTCAGGTATAGACGGGTTTGATAAACTTCAGAAGATTTTTTATTTAGGCCCTATAACTTGGAAATTTCTGAAGCTACATTTAAAACGTTTCTCAAGTGCTTTTGATATTTCTGAAGTATCCTACAAGTATGTGAAGTAAAAGAAATATTTCAAAAATACATCTCAAAAGCATTACAATCAAAATGAAACTTCTCATCTAAAATGTATTTTTGAAGTTTTGTTCTTGGATAGAATAACCTTTCAGCGAGAAAAGTAATGCAACAACTAATTTCTTAAATAAACCATTTTTAGAATAATTTTCCGATTAGTTATTTTTGACTGATTTGCGAATGCTCCTTTTTGGGAGAAAATAATTTCGCAACAATATTTTTTTAAGTTTAATTTTGACTTTTCTTTTGCAAATTTAAGAATAAATATTTTTATAAGTAAAAAGAAAAAATAAATGCAAAAATAGGGGAAAAAATCATACTCGCAAATTTAATAGCATCAAAGTATCTTTAAACTGTTATTATTATTTATCCCATGTAACTAGTGATCAAAATAAATATATGACGACAAACATACGTACTTCAATAGCATACGTACTTATGCTTATTTTTTAACTGTATTATTGTACCTCCACTAATAATGATAATTATACATTTCAATAGAATGTTATTATGCAATAAGTTCCAAAATTAATGCATGAAAAATGCTTATGAACGCAACCAATTATATTGGGCTGCATTTAATTAAATAAGAGAATTTAATTATAATTTAATTTCCAAAAATATTTTCTCTAAAAATACAAATATAAGTTCTACTATTACAAAAATAAAAATAGAATTTATGCAATTAGTTCTTAAGTGGTCTTAAAAAAACAACGATAATGTATGAAAATTGGCATTAGTGTTAAGGCATTTTTTTAACATTCCTGTTAAAATTTTGAAAAATAATACTTTTTACAAGAAGATTAAACAAGTTATGGCGTTATTATTTTTAGCTATAGTAATTTATCAAAATAAAAGCAAAATGTAGCTGATTTTTTTTAAAAAGAAAAGAATTCATTTTAAGAAAAATCGTCAACTTAGAAACATAACTTCTAACACGAAACGTTGCGTTTTTCCCACTGAATATATTATTGTTCTCGTATATTTTAAAAATGAATAAAGTGATTATAAAGTATTTTCTACTCAGGAAAAAAATTCTGGTAAAATTATCATACTGTATGATAATGACATTTCTGGTGGAAAAAATTCCGATTAATAAAACCAAATTCCGATTAATAAAACCAAAATATGCGATATATAAACCATTCATTAGGTAATTTTTCCAATCATTTGGTAACCGCTTACCACTTAGTCTGGTTATCAAAATCATAGTTCTTATCACCGCACATTTAGAAAAGAATACAAAACTGAAAAGCAAATTTAACAAATGTTTCATATGCCATAATCTATGGCGTCATGATAAAATTACCGAATTTTAGCACATTTACCAAATTTAATCACATATTATAAAACTATATTTTATTGTTAATTTTACTTAAATCATTACCGAAGCGCTTTGATAGAAATTACTGAGCTTTTAGGTGTTCCCATGAAGCCACAAACAAAGCCAATTTTACAATATTTTGGTAGCATATTTTTTGTTTGACCATATTTTTTTTCCAGGATGTAAAACAGTAAATCTGTTCGAATTTGAGGATATTACATCTAAAGTATCCAGAAATTTTTTTGATAATAATAGTTTTTATTGATATGCAAAATTTATTTATAATTAGAAATACTAATGTCGAACTGAAATTATTTACCTCATAAGGTTTTAAAAAACGAATTGAGAAATTAAATTATCATCTTTGAATTTCGCAATTAATGGAATGTGAAGGGATTAAATTAATACAAGTTTTAAAACCAATTCTAAAGGTGATTAATTTAACTTTTTTTTAAAAAAAACTTTCCTGCTGACAGAATCAATAAATATAAATAAAGCGATTAAAATATTCAATAAATTTCTTTCCAAAGGAAATTATAATTTTATATGTAATAATAGCTTCCTCAAAATATTATAATTTATGGACAATTTCATACTTTACTATTTAAATTCTAATTAAAGTGATTTGAAATAGAATTATTATAAATTTCCTGTAAGACTGCAATACATTCTATTAAAATTACTGACAAATATTACGCCATTGAATGACTAAACTAAACTAAACTCAGTGGCGCGACAGCTCATAGAGGGCCAATACCTACTACGCCCATCTCAGTTTTCTTGACCTTTGGGATCTGAGGTGCAAGAGCAGATGTTCCGGTTAAGTGGTCAGCCCAACGCGGAACCCCCAGTGTTTAGCTCCCAAGCATGCTTGGTACTTATTTTATCGATCCACTGAAGGGATGAAAGGCTGAGTCAACCTTGCCCGGCCCAAGAATCGAACCAGGAACCTGTGGCACAACAGCGCGAAGCGCTGCTGCTTAGCCACCGGGCGTCAATGACTACTTGGACTAAAATGAAGATAAACTGTACCACATGAAATTTTCAGTATTTTAAGGGTTCTAAAGTACTCAAAGTAGACTAATAATAAATAAACAAGATTTTATTAACTTAATTAGTTGAATTACGAATATCAATTTTTCTTATCCAATTAATTTTTTTAAGCTCTCCAGTAACTGCAATTTTGGTAAGAGAGAAACAGCCTCCTTTATTAAATTCAATTGTTCGTTTTTATATCCATACGCAGATCTTTCGCGTAAGAAATCACGAATTTTTGTAACAGCTTCTTAATTTTATAACTGTAAGTAAAAACAACTGAATGGAGCTACAGTAAAACAAACTATCGCTAACCTATAGTGTAATAATACCAGGATTGTGAAGGGAAAAAAGACAGTAAAATTTCTAGAATGATATTCGAAAACCTTTTATATTAATTATGCTAGAGATCAGAGAATTTTGAAGGGTGAGTTTTCGAAAATTGTTTTTGAATACTTTTCATTCAATATTGTAGATACGCTTTAGAGATTGTTTTGAGAATAAGTTTTATTTTTTTAGAAAATTGTTGAATTGGGACCACCAAATGAAAAAACCCTGCTCTAAATGACAGATATTGAGTGGGCCGCCACATTATCTCCTTCAACTTGCGCGCCTCGAAAAACAGAAAATCATCTACATTAACCATGACCCTTTGAATAAGATTAAATGTTCTTAATAAACGTCGAATATTTCACAACAAGGCTATGCAAATGATTAATCGTTCTTCCAATGATAGCTCTATCATTAACTTCAAAATAGTGAAAAAAATTGTCGTCTGCCTAAATGCATATCGGTGAAAAATTCCCATAATCCTTGTCGGTGCATCCCTAACGAGATTAAAAACCGGCAACATGGAATGAAAAGTGAAATTTAAAAGCTTCGGTAATGACTTGGTTTATCATTAGTTGTTTAAAGTAATTTTGTTCTTATTTCTAAATAGATCTTAACTTGAATGCAATCATACGCTCAAGAGTCGAACCATACAAATTTGTCTGAATTTTATCAACTGAAATAGTAACGGTAATTTAACTATCGTTTAAATAATTTGCTTTTAGAAAGAAAGAAAATTTTTCTCTTACTTACGAAATTTCAACCGAAAATGAATATTAATTTGTGAAACAGTTTTTTTTTTCATACACTAACGTCATACAATTATGAAATAACAATATTTAAAGATAAGTTGAAAAAAATAATAAAATCATTTAATAAGAATGTAATCATCCTTTTTCCATATATTTATCATTAATGATAAGCTTTTTAAGAAATGTAATTATAGATAAAGTTACATATTTTGGGGTTCTGATTTATGCGGTTTATAGCATGATTTAACCGAAATCATTGTTTTTATGAATTTATTCCAGATAAACTTGCTTTAAAAAGAATTTTAAAGAAGGATTTTTTCATGAATTAATTTCTTATCATTCACAATGAAGACGTAAAATTTCTTTCAAAAGATTCCATCAAAATTGTAAATTGTCTTTTTGTAAATTATATTTTTTGAAAAATGTAGCTCTAAGGAAGTTATCTTAATTACAAATATTTTTGAAACAGAGGAGAAAATATCTATTCATATTCTGAAAAATATTTTCAAAATGTATTGTTTCTTTTACAAAAAAACAAATTAAAACTATTCAAGAATGCAACTTAAAATTTCAGTTTTTCAAAAAACCTTAAAATTCAGAACCTTAAAAGATCATAACTAAACCATAAAAATTCAGAACTCAATCAAATATATATTTTATAAGTTTTAGTCAGGCCTTCACTGAATTATAGTGAAGTGTATACGATATGTCTAAATACGTAATACTAGTCATACCATTATAAAGTTACAAACAAAAACGTCATAAAATACACTGTCGAAATAAATAAATATAGAAATAAAATGTATTACATTAAAACTTAAATTTTATTTAATAAGAAAAAACTCAAAGTAATAAATATTATAAGGTGTAAAATTTTTCCGATTTAAAATTACTCATATAATAATCAACGTAAATACATATTATAACTACAAATTTTAAAAAAAAAATTGCTGTACCTTTATTTGGTCTTTTATCAAAATTTCAAGCTTGTATTTCTTCGCACTCTATCAATATATCCAAATTTGAAAAAATTTTCTATCTTCAGGAGAAAAAAAAACTTTGAAAAATCTAAAAAAAAAACTGAAATCAAACAAAACATCCAAATCCTATGAAGTTGATTCTTCTAGTTTGATTGACGAGTTATTAGAATATAATTTTTATGCAAGTTAAAAATTGAAAGTGGAGAATAACCGCTGATTATTTAAATGTGCTTCTTCAATAGGCGGGTTGAAAACGGCTTTATTAAGAAATAAGACCATGCTGGGGTTAACCTTGACAAAATGGGAAAGGAAAACAAGTTGTTACGTCAGGGGCGGAGTCAATTAGAAGCATTAAAAGTAACGGGACTTTTCACAACTATTGGGTGAAAAGGAATTCAATTAATGAACTAATTGAGAGGAATTTCCGTGTGATTTACTAATTTCCATTGACATGAAAAATATGTTCGATTGCATTATGTTTTATTTTTTTTCGCAATCAAAAAACCAGCCTGATAAGAAATAACTTATGCATTCTTTTATTACACCGATTAAAAATATTAATCACATTAAAAAGGGAAATGTGCTAATTAAAAGTGGGGATAATAGATCTGGTAGATATAATAGGAGGCATGGAAAATAAAGAGTAGGGATAATAGGGATAGTAGTCTAATAAAACTAGGGTTAATAAGGGGTAAATAAAAAATACATACATACATACATTTATTCCTAGTCTTTGAAAATAATTAATGATGTTTTACTATAAAATGTTTCGAAAATATTGATTCCATACGAGTAAGGTTTTGGGAAAGTGTAATTTTTGTAAATTTTAAAATGTTTTTGTAATTTTTTAAAAGTAGTTCTTCTTCAAAAAATATTTTTAATGATATTTCTTTTAAAATAGCAGCTGAAGAAAGTTTTTGTTCAATATATCTTAAGCGTGTTATAAGAAGTTAGACAAATCCTAATCCTTAAGAAGCATTAAAAGTAACGGGACTTTTCACAATTATTGGGTAAAAAAAGAATTCAATTAATGAACTAATTGAGAGGAATTTCTGTTAGATTTACTAATTTTTACTGACATGAGAAATATATTCGACTGCATTATGTTTTTTTTTCGCAATAAATAAAACAGTCTGATAAGAAATAACTTCTGTATTCTCCTAATACAACGATTACAAATATTTATCTCATTAAAAAAGGAAAAGTGCTAATTAAAAGTTTTAATTATGGATACCTAAAAAATACATACAGTCTCTGGTCAAATTATTTGAAGCACTATTAGATTCTATGTAAAATCTTAATTATTAAGTTATACTATACAGCTTTATTGCTTTTATGTGACTGAAATCAGTATACACTTCTTTACATTCGAGTATCAAATGGTTAAATTAGACGATGCATAATATAAATTCGACGATTTGATAAATTAGACGATAAATTATACAAATATAGAATATTTATAATATCATGTATTATATTAGTATATTATAATAATTCAACCAAATTAGACGCACTGTAGTGTTTTAATAATTGCAGGTTTTGAACGAGTTTGTATACAATACTTTTATATTTAAACATACATGTAACGGGTTTTTATTAGGGAGATTTTTTATATACTTCCTATTTGTATTAATTTTTAACGTATTGTATTACAATGTTAACCAATTGATACTCGAACATAACCGGTTAACCGGTTTCAGCCGCATAAAAACAATAATGCTGTATAGTATCACTTGATAATTAAGATTTTACATAGAATCTTATAGTGCGTCTAATAGTTTGGCCAGATTCCTTAAAAATAATTATGTGATTTTTTACTGTAAAATTTTTCGGATATATTGATATCATACGAATTAAGTTTTGGAAAAGCATAATTTTTGTAAATTTTAAAATGTTGTTCTAATTTTTTAAAAACAGCTTTTCTTCAAAAAATATTTTTTGTGATAATTATTTTAAAATAGAAACTAAAGAAAGTTTTTGTTCAATACATCTTAAGCGTGTTATGAGAAGCTAGACAAATCCTGATTTTATTTAAATTTACAGAATTAATTTTAGTGATAAAACGTTCGTGCAACAGCCTGAAGTAAGTCAGGGAGTCATGTAGGCTTCATATTTTCGTAACCAATGACAATCTAGTCAGTATTACGGACCTCTTTACTTCACAGACAAGCTGGTACATATTTATTAGAACCCGTTAGGAAGCTACCGAGAATAGAACCACAATCTTGACAGCTCAATGCCCCTTGCCNACCTGATAATTAAGATTTTACATAGAATCTTACAGTGCGTCTAATAATTTGGCCAGATTCCTTACAAATAATTATGTGATGTTTTACTGTAAAATTTTTCGGATATATTGATATCATACGAATTAAGTTTTGGGAAAGCATAATTTTTGTAAATTTTGAAATGTTGTTCTAATTTTTTAAAAACAGCTTTTCTTCAAAAAATATTTTTAGTGATAATTATTTTGAAATAGAAACTAAAGAAAGTTTTTGTTCAATACATCTTAAGCGTGTTATGAGAAGCTAGACAAATCCTAATTTTATTTAAATTTACGGAATTAATTTTAGTGATAAAACGTTCGTGCAACAGCCTGAAGTAAGTCAGGGAGTCATGTAGGCTTCATATTTTCGTAACCAATGACAATCTAGTCAGTATTACGGACCTCTTTACTTCACAGACAAGCTGGTACATATTTATTAGAACCCGTTAGGAAGCTACCGAGAATAGAACCACAATCTTGACAGCTCAATGCCCCTTGCCGTCAAGCTAACCATGGGAGGTTTTCGTTGTCTTGTCTTCCTCTCCATGTGCTGGTTAGTTCCATCAAAAATTCCTCCACGAAGGCAAATTTCTCCCAGTATTTGATCCAGAAGTTCCTTTACCTTCTGGATTGGGTTCACAATTACAAGGCTACGGAGTTGAACATTAGTAGTCGTAAACTCTAAATTGAATCGGTTATTCAACGACAGTTAGTAAATAAAATCAAATGTTTATTACAGAATAAATTGACATTCAGGCAGAATTTTAAATTTTTAGTTGTATAAAGAATGTTGCTTCGCTAAATAAATTAAAAATCCTTTATTTTTACAGAAATTGTTGACTTAATTGCATAAGTAAACGAATCAACAAAGGATGCAGAAATTGCTTTACCACTATCCTAACTGTAGTTTTTCAGTGCACAAAAAATGGATTTTTTTATATTTGAGTTTTCACTGAATACACCATTATACAATCTAATATAAGAAGAACTGTTTTTCAAAACCAAAAAGAAAACAATCTCAAAATATTCCACCACGTGTAGGCCCGTCAGATGGTTTTAAGCTATGAAATTTACATGTTCACTGTTTTGATTATTATTAATGTTTAAATACTTCAAGATACTGTTATTTAATTATTTATTAAGCATCATTTTTTAATTATTTATTTATTTCAAAATGAATATGAATTACTTTCATGCGAATATTTTAGAATCTACTTTAATTTTTTTATGAACAGTTATATCAGTTTGTGTTATGAAAATCACTATTTATAAATTCAAATTGTCACCTAAAATACCATGTCGTATTTATCCATTCATTTGAAGATGTTTACATCAATAATAAAAAATCTTACGTATTTAATTAAAAATTTAAATAGTAGGATCGCGACACCAAAAGCTTACGAATTTCTTCAAATAAATAATTAATAATTTTTTTTATGAAGTAGTTAATCAAAAGTTTGAAATATCAGACCCTGGCAAGAAAAGTGACACAAGTCAAAAAACTGCATTTGAGAAAAATCTACTTAAAGGATACTATAAACTTACGCTGAAATAGCTTAATCTGAAATAGCACAATCTAGAGATTAGGCACTTTTTGAGCTTGATGGACACTTCATATGTACTTCTTATTTACATAACCTCAAAATTGCTGTTTCTTTTACTTGTTTCACTTTCTTGCCGGGGTGGGATATGTAAAATCGAAACAACTTCTCAAAAACCTCTTTAAAAAATTATGATCACACTTTTAAATTAAAATTTCCATTATTCATTTAATTCATTCAATTAAAATTTCCATTACTCAAGTGCGCACATTCACCGTTTGTTAGCAACAGTTTTTCTCTCTTTCTTTTTTGATGTGAGAGTTTAAAATTTTTTTTTTTTCGCGTGTATCAAAATTCTTAACTCAACTATTAAACTCTGGAACAGATGAAAATCATTTTAAATAAGTTTTTATAATATTTCTGTGGAAAAAAATATATCTTTGCTAATTTTCTGGTTCTTGCAAAAATTCCTAAAGCATTTAAGGACTCGTTTTTTTAATACAGAAAATATTTATCGGAACTCTCAATGAAAACCTCAATTTATAATTCCGAAACTTATTTAAACGATCATAACACGATATGTCTAAATACGTAATACTAGTCATACCATTATAAAGTTACAAACAAAAACGTCATAAAATACACTGTCGAAATAAATAAATATAGAAATAAAATGTATTACATTAAAACTTAAATTTTATTTAATAAGAAAAAACTCAAAGTAATAAATATTATAAGGTGTAAAATTTTTCCGATTTAAAATTACTCATATAATAATCAACGTAAATACATATTATAACTANATTTATCGGTACTCTCAATGAAAACCTCAACTTATAATTCCGAAACTTATTTAAACGATCATAACTCTTTTGCAAAGTAGTAGGAGAGAACTTCAAATCGTATTCTATATACTATATAATATATTCTATATACTATATTGCAATATTTTTTCAATAACTACATTCTTTACTCAAAGTCGTTTTTTTAATAAAGTTTAAAGTGTAGTTAGAAACAAGTCTATTAGTAAATCTTTCTAATCAAATATAAACCTAATAATTCTCATTCTTAATTTGTCCAAAATTAATTAATTTATAGAACATATTATTTATATGTTTAATTGTATATGTTCTTTTAATTTCTGAAACATATTATCAAAGTACACGCTTTAGTAAACACTTTTTGGTCTTTTATTTAAAAGATTAATTCCCTCAATTAAACTTATCTTAAAGAATAATAAGAATAATTTTTCTCGAAATAATTATAAAATAAGTGTATGTTTTAATGTGTTTATTCAACTTCATTCAATTATGTGACAGTCGTTGTTTATATATAAAATGTACTTTAAAAAATATTTAAATAGGCAGATAGACAAGGTATTTAGATAGGTAGATTAAATAGGTAGATACATTGAGAGAGCAATTTTGTTTAAAAAAAAATAAAAAAAAGTACAAAAAAAGGCCATGACAAAGATGCTTTTGA